ATCTATCTATCTATCTATCTATCTATCTATCTATCTATCTATCTATCTATTGATACTTATCTGTGGTTAGAGGATAAGAAGTTGTTAAGGAATTATGCCAATCTAGCAAAGTGGTAGTAGCAAGTTTTCCTTTAAGACCCATGACCTCACTAGTCTCTTACAGTTAGCTAGGTGTCTAGAACCATAAATCATTTTCTTCCTATTGAGTCCAATTACACATTTGTTGACTGGCACTGACACATGAAAGGCACTGTTGCATCTTTACAGATGCTTTGTTTTTCTGATCATTTTTGTGGCCTGTGGTTTCACATATGAGCAGGACCACAAACTGCTACACTCCCCTGGCAGCTTGCACAGTAATTTCTGACAGTATGGAAACTGTACCACAAGAAGGAGGCCTTCAGTTTACATACAGGTTGAAAACTCTGAATCCTATTTCCTAACTGTGCGGTTGCTCCATTAACAGTGGATTACCTTCAGATTCTGAGAGGCAATCAAGGGTTATATCAATACCAAGAGCTTATACAGTTTTCGGAGTTATTTGGACTATCCTGACCAACTGAACAACCTCTGGAAAGGAGATTTCTCATGAATGGTACTAGAGTTTTGTTAGTCCACTGTTTTTTTTTTATCCCAAGAGGATATATGTGGATATATACATATATATGATGTATATATTTATAGTTTAATATATTTAACTATCTATTTATATATTTACATGCTGCATATTTATAGTAATATATAAATTAATATAATTTTGAAGCAATTTTGTTGTTGTCTTTCTCTTCCTGCTTCTCTACTGACTTCCTTTTTGACTTCCAAATTATTGCCTGCATCTTCAGTTCTTTATTTTCTACTCTCAATCCCCTGTATCACACTTTTCTCTCTCAGTCTACACACCCTGCCCTGTGGCCCCTTTATATTTTTCTGGTTTCTGTCTGTTACTTGATGCTGTTTCCTCACATCTTAAAATCTGAAGCTAGGCAGTGCGCTTGAGACAGTCTTAATGAGACCTGATAGGCTAGGGTCAGATGGTAGGGGAGGAAGACCTACCCTATGAGTGGACTAGGGAAGGGGCAAGGGAGGAGAAAGGGAAGGGACGGTGGGATTGGAAGGGGACGAGAGTGGGGGCTACAGCTGAGATACAAAGTGAATAAATTGTAAGTAATAAAAAAATGAACTAATATTTTAAAAATTTGGAGCTAGGAACCACACATGAGAAAGAACCTCTGAGGTTTGTCACTCTGGGTCTGGGTGACCTTTAAACTAATATTTTCTTGTTCCATATTTGCATGAAAATATAATTTCACTTTTTGCATCTTAAAAATATTCCATAGTGTATATGTACCACATTTTAATTATCCATCCATGTGTTGAATGATATTAAGGGTGTTTCTATTCCCTAGCTTTTCAGATTGTGAATAGGGCAGCCAACAACAAGGGTGAGCAAGTATCTGTGGATTAGGAATTTGAGTCCTTTGGGTATATGCCAAGGAGTGGTATAGCTGGGTTGTGTGGTATATTTACACTTTTGTGTATTTTGAAGATTCCCCACACTGATTTCCAGGAGGGATGCAGTATTTTTCGTTACTACCAAAAGTGAACAAGGGTTACCCTTTCTCCACTACCTTATCAACAACTGATGTCAATTATTTATGAGCTATTATGACTTGAATGGGATAAAATCTCTGAGCTGTTTGAATTTACATTTCCATAACTGCTGAGTATGATGAGCCATTTCTAATCTTAGCTCGTTTTTCATGTGGGTCATTTAGTTCCTTGACCTTTTTTTTTTTTTTAAGTCAGGATATTAGTAACTGACAAAGATTTCCAATCTGAGGATTTCTTTAATTAATTCTTTTTTTTCCCTTAGCTATTCAAAAGCTTTTTAGTTTTATGAGAGTCCACTTGACCAATGTTGCCAAATAAAGAATTTTTCTGCACACACACTCACACACACACACACACACACAAAACACAAACACATATTCATTGGCTATGCATTTTTATAACATTTTTAGTAATTCAGGTTTCAAACTGAATGTTCTGTAGGGTAAAGATATGGGTAGAGTTTCATTCTTCTGCATGCGGACATCCAGCTTTCCCAGTACCTTGTTGATTATGCTGACTTTTATTCCCAATAAGTTTTTGTCCTCAGATGACTGTCATTTTGTGTACTTTATCTCATCTGTTTTATTCAGTTGACCTACATGACAGTTTTATTCAGGTGCCATATTGTTTTTAATTACTATACCTTTGTATAGTAATAAAGTGTATAAAGTAATAAAATCTGTAAGATGTCTGTAGGCATCTGTAAGTCTAGAATGGTAATCTTCTTAATTTTATTTTTATTGTTGTTGTTTGGGATTTCTTTGGCTATTTGGGGCCTTTTCCGGTTCCAAATGAATTTTAGGACTTGGTTTTTGTTTTTCTTCTTTTTTTTTTCTACTGATGTAAAAAATATTTGTGGCAATTTGATTAGGATTACATTGAATATGTAAATTATTTGGTAGAAAGGTCATTTTCACAGTATTAATTCTGTCAGTCTACCAATCCATGAGCATTTGGTATTTTTCTATTTTTAGTGTCTTTCACAATCTCTCTCTTACGAGGTTTAAATTTACCTTGAAGAGGAATTTTACTTCATTCTTTAGGTTTATTCCAAGGTAATTTATTGTCCTTTTTGTTATTGCAAATAAGAATATGTTCATGATCTCATTCTTGGTGTGTTTCTTTTTGGTTTATAGAAAGGCTACTTGTGTTTGCAAATTGATCCTGTATTCTGCATCTTTGCTGAAATAGTTGATTGTTTCTAGAAGCTTTCTGGTGGAATCTTTCAAATCTCTTGTGTGTAACTTCATATCTTCTGCAAATAAGAATAGTTTCATTTCTACTTATACACCTTTAATTTCCACCCATTTTTCTTTGAGTAAACGCAAAAGCTCTTTTCTCAAGCAGTTGAGAAGGTTGAGAGCTGTGCTCCACTGACCTCTGTTTCTCAGAGGGAAAGAGGTAGAAGCCTTGGCTTTTATAGAACTTTTTATGAAAGTTCTTTGAAACTGAGGTTAGCCTTAAATCCCTAATTGAACATCATGTCATGATGAGCACAGTAATTCTATAGTAAGAGTGAAAATGGGTCACTTTCACTTCATGTTTTCAGTTCATTAGCACAGCAACATTTGTTGTACAGTAATGGGTCAAAGGAATACATAAGTTAATTAAAATAATCACAGGTAGATGACTCCTGCTATTACTTATAATGATCACCAATTGTTGACTTCTTCATCTTGGTAAAATTACTTATGAAATAGCCAAAAACACTTTCAACTTGTATCTAGCAAACTACATATTTCAATTATACATATCAAAGAGTTTCAACTAAAAAGTGATTCATAAGTAAAATTTCAAACAGAAAAAAATCAATTTTAATCATTGTCTACATAACTGGCATTAATGATATTTTGAAATCACTTTTGTTACCAGTTGACCAACGCATAATTTAAAGAAAAAAATTATAAATCATAATAGCTAGAATATTTGAGTTTCAGGCTTGGCTCACATACTAGTAACTTTCATAACCTTGAACTGCTCAAAATTGAATTATTCATCCTTCTGTGGAACTGAAAGAGGAAATTACTGAAAGGGAAAGAGCTCCAAACTTTAAAAAAAAATAACAATCTAGGGGAATATTATAGATGAATTGTGAATTTACTATCATATATTATGTATCTAAATATAAGATTTGATTAAACAAATTTTCACTTAAAAATCAATTTATTGATATAAATGCTGATAATTTTATTTTTATGGCATTTACTCACTTGAAGAACATAACACTTTTATTTTTTTTAATTAGGGAAAAGAAATGTTATATTTTAAGAAAGACTAGAGATATATGTGAGATATTTTTTAAATGAGCAACTAGAAACATTTATTTCTACTTGAATATGATACAGAAATAGATTTTTACAAAATTCTCAGCAACTTCCTTAGGAATGTTGATAATCATAAGCCCATATTTGCTTTAGTGCTTACTTATTGAAGTATATGGACATTCTGGTTATAAATATAAAATATTACGTTAGTAGATTTTCTTGATTCATGTGAGTTAATGATTTTCTTCCCAGATATTTAGTGTCCAGACTTAAGGCTCACTCCCCTTCCTCTGCCTTTCTGCTCTCTACTTTCTTTCTAAGCAACTATTTCAGACAGTGCAGCAGAAGAGTCCTGTAGACATGAGAACTGTTCCATGAAAATAGGGCTGAGAGGCTCTATCTCCTCCTAATGAGCTTCAGCACACTTATGCAGACAGTAATCTAACATCTGTCTGTAACAGATATTGTAATTGTAAGTATTTGATAGAACTCCCCACAAATTGCATATGTATATTAAAACAGCATTTAAGAATGAACACATAAAACCTATTGAAACATGGAAATTTGATCATATTATTTCTCTGAAAAAATAAGAAAGGCAGAGTTTCCAAAGAAAAATTGGAAAGGGAAATGATGTTTAATGTTTATCAGTTGTAGGGAGGCAATGTAGTATAACCATGGCATAATTGCCTGTGGTGGTCACAGTGGATTTGCTGAAATGTGATGATTTGTTTAGTTATAGAAAATAAAATTCATAAAAAATTAAGATTATTGTTTTTTTCCTTGATTAGTGACATAATTAATTATTCTTCATTTTGCATCAGATTGACTTTACCTAATTAAAGTATTATCTGAAGGCACACACAGGGCAATTGTATTTGCATATATTTTTGTTTGTTTGTTTGTTTGGTATTTTTAAGAGAAACCTGGAATCTATTTCTGAAAATGAAATTTACTTCTTCTTATTACTTAGTCTTCCATACAGTCATAGATTAGGAAGAAAATATTAAACAAATTTATATTCTTCTAACTCACCAAGCGTTTTTATTTTTAATAACATCTTTAACTCTTCTCATGATTTTCACTTTAATCAGTTTAATGTTTTGGACGAATTGGAATGAACAGCATCCCAGCATCATGCGAGCCACGTTGACCGGGAAGAATGCACACGTGGTGATTAGCACAGACATACTCACTCCGAATGGACTCACCATTGACCACCGTGCAGAAAAGCTGTATTTCTCAGATGGCAGCTTAGGAAAAATTGAGAGATGTGAATACGATGGATCCCAAAGACATGTAAGTTAACTGCCTGTTTCTCCATTTCAGCTTTATATAATAAGTTTGAAAATATGTACTTTATACTTTTCTAACCTACCAAGGAATTTCAAAAGAGCTAATTGTATGAACTTACTAAAATGAATAATCTATTCAGCATACAGTCTATGGATATTTGGAAAACCATTCTAAAGTGCATTTGCTGTCATAAAGAAAATCTTTTGTAACTGCTATTCTGGGGATACAACAATAGATTTGTTCCCAGTTTTAAATTGAACTGAGTATGAGTGGTTTATAGGTTTTTCATTGGTATTTAAAATGTTTTAAGATGAAGTGAAACTACATTAGTTTCTTTGGATAAAGGAAACTGGATCCAAGCCACATAATGAATCTCTGAGGACAGTCAAATGGGATTACATTCACAGAAAGGCCTAGCCCACTCACCGTGGTTTTTGCATTTTTTCTTTTATTGCCACATGAAAAACCCTCACAGCAGGTACACAATCATGATATCCCAGTGTGTTCCTCATCTCTTCTAGAAATGTCAGCATTGGACATTGTGAAATTTCACCAGAATGAAGAGCTATTCCTGACTGGTCAGACTACTGGGTCAGTCTTTTCCCACCAAACAGCCCAGTGTTTGTTAGAAGTATAAAATCCCCAGTTCTCAGGTCTCTGATTCCTTGAGGAAGGTCTGAGATGTAAGGAAGCTACCTTCTTGAAAGCCAGATCAGAAGTGTTGAAAATTTCATGGACTAAATGGTCTGTGTGGTGACTATAACTTCTTACAGTCCTGAGGCAGACAGAACACGGAAGAAATTAATTAGAGTGGGCCCAGTTCATGTAAAGAGTTATTTACAGAAAATGGCCCACTAACTGACCATAATTTAATTATGATTTTATAGAAGCAAGCATCATGAGAGTGTATTTTTGTTTGTTTTTGTTTCTTGAAACAAGGTCTAGTTGTAACAGTCAGATAGCAATAAACTCTTGAGTTCAAATAATCCTTCGATTTTAAGCCTTCCAGGAACATGCACAAGTCTATACTTCTTCATCCAGCAAATCAAAGTATGGGCTCATGTGACGATGAGTGGAGTGTACCATGTGAGTTTCTTGAAGAAGGAGGCAATAGGCTAACTCACATTTTGGCACATCATATTCTCCAGTGGTGTCTCAAATGACATTGAGATATGAGAGTTGAGTGCTTAAATAACATTGGGATGATGGTCTCAATCTTAATGAGGCTCAGTTCATGTTGAAGTCAAAGAATCATGTGCTTAAATTCATCTACCTTTTAAACTTAATGGTCACCAGACTTAAGCAAACTGCTTAGATTTTTCCCTATTTATTTATTTATTTATTTATTTATTTAATCACTTTACAGCCTGATCACAGCTTCCCCCCCACCCCTGCTCCCAGTCTCACCCTCAGGCTCCCTCTCCCCAATCTGTCCGGCACCCTGGCACAAGTCCCAGCAGGACTAAGCACTTCTTCTTCCACTGAAGACTGAAAAGGCAGCTCAGCTAGGAGAAAGGAATCCAAAAGCAGGCAACAGGGTCAGAAACAACCCCTACTCCTATTGTTAGAGAACCCACATGTTGAGCAGACTGCACATTGGCTATATATGTGCAGGGAGTCTAGGTCCAGCCAATGCATGCTCTTTGGTTGGTGGTTCAGTCTATGTGAGCCCCCATGGGACCTGGTTAGTTTACTCTATAGGTCTTCTTGTGGTGTCCTTGACTCCTCCAGGTCTCTCAATCCTTCTTGCCACTCTTCCGCAGAATCCCCAAGTTCAGCCTACTTTGGCTGTGTCTCTCTCTATCTGTTTTCAGCTGCTGCTGGATGAAGCCTCCCAGAAGACAGTTATGCTGGGATCCTGTCTACAAGCATAGCAGAGTAACAGGGCTTGGCTCTCTCCCTTGGGGTGGGTCTGATATTGCACTATTTGTTGTTTTGCAACTCCCTCAATTTCTACTCCATCTTTATGCCTACACTTCTTGTAGGTATGACAAATTTTGGGTCAAAGGATTTATGGGTGGGTTGGTGTCCTCCATCCAGTATTTGAAGTCCCCCCTGGCTACTGGAGGTGGCAACTTCAGTTCCTTAAGCCCTGATGCTAGAAGTCTCACCTAGGATCATTCCCATAGATTCAGGGGAGCTTCCCCTGTTCCAGAAATGGCCTCTCCCCACTGAATTGTGTTCTCTTTCCTGGTGCCTCCTGTCTCCCTGCACCTGACTTCCCATCCCCATTACCTTCCCTACCCAAGTTGAAACTAGAAAAGATCATCTTGAGTGAGTTAACCCCGATCCAGAAAAGCATGTATTGTATGTACTCAGGTCTAAGTGGATATTAGCCATAAAGTACAGACAACCAAGCTACAATCCAGAAGAAGACCCAAAGAAGCCAAGGAGGTCCCAAGGGAGGATGCTTATATCTCACATAGAAGAAGAAATGAAATAGACATCTGAATGAAGTAAATGGAGGGAGGAGTTTTAATAGAAGCTTTGACATGAAAACTTTCAACTTATCACGACTATTGTGACAATAACAAAGAAGTTCAGAATAAGGTCTACCTTTATATATTACTTGACCTTTTTCCCTTGCTGTTTTAATATTTTTTCTTTGTTATGCAGATTTAGGGTTTCAACTATTATGCAAATCATGAAATTTGCAGGCAAATGGTGAGAACTAGAAAAGATCATCCTGAGTGGGATATCCCAAAAGCAAAAAGACACACATGCTATATACTTATTTATAAGTGGATATTGTACATATAATATAGGATAAACGTACTAAAACCTGAACATCTAAAGAAGCTAAATAAGAAGGAGGACCCTTGGTAAGCTGATCAGTCCTCACTCAGAATGGGAAGGACATCAGAAGAGGGAGAAAACAGGGAATAGGACAGGAGCCTACCACAGAGGACCTTTGGAAGACTCTACCCAGCAAGGTATCAAAGCAGATGCTGAGACTCATAGACAAACTTTGGGCAGAGTGCAGGGAATCTATGAAAGAGGGGGAAGATAAAAAGACCTGGAGGAGATAGGAGCTCTACAAGGAGAGCAACACAGGGTTCTTTTCTGAGACTGATACCCCAACCAAGGACTATGCATGGAGATAACCTAGAACCCACACACAGACATAGCCCATGGCAGCTCAGTGTACAAGTGTGCCCCCTAGTAATGGGAACAGGGACTGTCTCTGACATGAACTCAGTGGTTGGCTCTTTGATCACCTCCCTCTGATTGGGGAGCACCTTTACCAGGCCACAGAGGAAAACAATGCAGCCAGTCCTGATGAGACCTGATAAGCTAGAGTCAGATGGAAGGGGAGGACGACCACTCCATCAGTGGACTTGGGGAAGGGGATGGGAGGAGATTAGCAAGGGAGGGTGGTACTGGGAGTGATGACGGAAAGGGCTACAGCTGGGATACAAAGTGAATAAACTGTAATTTATAAAAAAAAAGTAATTAATTTAAAAAAAAGAAGTTCAAAGTGGAAATATCAGTTAATACCTTGAAAAATAGCCAGGTAGGTCAATTTACTCAGTGTGATTCTAATTTCTGTTATGTTCTAATACAGAAAATGCTTTTGTAACTCCTCATAAAACCCTTCACTTCTCCCAATTCATATTTTATCTATTGATTTTGTTCCCCCATTCTTACCCATGACAATTATAGCTAGTGTGGTTGGTGTAGAAGGAGAATATTGTTAGTAAAATTTTGTTTGTTTTGTCATATTAAAAACATACCCAGTTGTGGTTGTAACTCTGCACCCTTTGCTGATGTCCAAACCACGGTTATTTCTGGCTGGGTCAGAATACTGAAGGAACATTTTCAAAACCCATTGTGTTTATTTGCCTTAGGGATTGCATTGCATTCTCAAAAATATTTAAATTAGGTATTCATTAATTTTAAAGAAACAGAGATATTGTGGAGCACATTATGTATCTGTGCTCATGTGCAGTGATCAGTGTATGATCAAGTAAACATAGACTTTTTCTTTGTTGGAAGCACATTAAAAACTTTCTCTTTCAGTTATCTTAAATGTAAATATGACCTTGTTAATGATAGTCATCCTTTTAGAATGGCATGATTCTTTCTTCCTGCTACCTAATTTTGTATTGTTAAAGACTTTTCCCCAAGCCCTTACCTTCATCAGCCTCTGTACTGCGTCTTTCTGTAAGACCAGCTTGCTTAGATTCCCCAAAGGAGCGTGATGGTGCAATAGTTTTCTTTCTCTTCTAGTTTCTTCACATAACATAATACTTTACCAATGCATCTCTATTGTTATCAAATGTGATAGGATTTTATCAGTTTTGTGGCTAAATAACATTCGAGAGTGAATAATTACCACATTTTCTTTAACGGTTCACCAGTTAAGGCACTTAGGTACTTAGATTAATTTCCTCTTTTAATTATATGAAAACACTCCCGAAGGAGAATGCATACCAGCCTGACAGAAGAATTTCATTCCCATTGAATATATACATAATCCTGTGGGATGCTAGGTCATGTGTTGCTTACTTTTAACTAATTTTATAACTTCTATACTATTTCTCACATTGACTATACTAATCTGCATTCTGACCAGCAGTGTAGAAGCATCTCTACATCTTGGCATAGACTCAAGCAAACACACACACACACACACACACACACACACACACAGTCTTTTTGATAAAAGACAGCTGAATTGGGGTAATGTGGTAATTCACTGTCATTTTAACTTTTATTTTTGGATTATTAATGATGTGCCATGTTTCTTTATATACCTCTTAGTCAGTTAAGAAACATCTGCTCAGGTCCCTTGTTCATTTTTTTATTGGAATGGATATTAGCTATGGAGTTAGGGTCCTTTTAAATAGTGAATATGAACCTTATAAGAGATATAGTTTACATATATCTCATATCATTCTGTAGGTAAAACTGTTTTTCTGTTCTTTGATTCATCATGCAAAAGGTTTTTAAATTAAAGTAATATCATTTGTATAATTTTACCTGAGATATTATAAAAATAC